GATACCACTACTGTGGAAAGCAGTATGGCAATTCCTTAAAAAGTTGGAATTAGAAATACCATTTGACTCAGCAATCCCATTACTAGGTATATATCCTAAAAAACTGAGAGCCAGGACAAGAAAAGATAAATGCACACCCACGTTCATCACAGCACTATTTACAATAGCAAAAAGATGGAAGCACTTACGTGCCCATCAACAGAAGAATGGATAAGCAAACTATGGTACATACACAAAATGGAATACTATGTAACACCAAAGAATATAGAGTCTGCAAAACACTGCATAACAAGAATGAACTTGAAGGACATTATGCTCAGTGAAATAAGTCAGTCACAGAAGGACAAATATAGTATTAGTTCATTATTGTAAATGAAGGAAAGGTTTAAGGAAAGTCAATGAAAGGTTTATATATGGAAGGAAACTTCTTTGTTGGTTACCAGGGAGGGGAGGGGAGTGGAGGGAACACTGAAAAAAAAATGCATTGACCATTTTAGTGGTATTTATCAACAGATTTGTCCAAATGCCATGTAATTTGATTTCTTGACTATTGTTTCTATTGGCACTGATTGTGGATCCAAGTAAAATGAAATCCTTGACAACTTCAATCTTTTCTTCAGTCTTTTCTTTATCACGATTATTTTGGTTACTTCATGCTGCTCTAACAGAAATAGCACAAATGGGTGACTTGAACAAACAGGAGTTTATTCTCTTACAGTTTCGAGGCTACAAGTCCAAGTTCAAAGTGCTAGGCTCTAGAGGCTGGGTAAAAGCCCCTCAGCTTTGGGCTTCAGCTCTGCCTCTTGCTCCCAGACCACTGAAGCTAGAGACATCTCTTCACTGAGGCAGCTCCTGGCTGCTGAGGCTGACAAACCCAAGGTTGACAAGTGAAAAGTCACAGTCCTGATGTTACCAAACCACACAGTAGGCCATTAATTCAAGTCCATTAAAAGTGCCAAGATCAGCAGACAACATGGCAGGCTGCTGAGCAATGACTCGGCTACATGCAGGATTCAAGCGTGACAAAAGCTAGAGACCTTCCTCAAAGTTGCTTCTTATATAATGGAAATAGACCACATTCCTAAAGCAGCTATTCAGCTGCTCCAGTAGATTCCACCATGGAGTTGATTACCAATCTCACCTTGGGTAATAACTGCATCCAGCTGCCCCGCCATTCAACCAGGTCTGGCCAAGTTGACACATGACCTTAATAACCACAATGATGTTGCTTATTTTGAGGATTTTTTCTTTCTTTATGTTGAGATGTAATCCATATTGAAGGCTGTAGTCTTTTATCTTCATCAGTAAGTACTTCAAGTCCTCTTCATTTTCAATAAGCAAGGTTGTGTCATATGCATATCAGAGATTGTTAATGAGTCTTTGTCCAATGTTGATGCTGTATTCTTCATATAGTCCTGCTTCTTGAATTATTTTCTCAGCATGCATACTGAATAAGTATGGTGAAAGAATACAGCCCTGACACACATCTTTGTTGATTTTAAACCATGTATTATCCACTTGTTCTGTTCCAACGTCTGCCTCTTGGTCTATGTACATGTTCCTCATGAACACAATTATGAATTTTGGAATTCCTATTCTTAGGAATGTTATCTATAATTTGTTATGATCCAAACAGTTGAATGCCTTTGCATAGTCAATAAAACACAGATAAGCATCTTATAGGTATTTTATGCTTTCAGCCAAGATTCAGCTGACATCAGCAATGATATCTATCATTCCAAGTCCTCTTCTGAATCCATCTTGAATTTCTGTCAGTTCCCTGTCAATGTACTGCTGGAACTGATTTTCAATTATTTTTGGCAAAATTTTACTTGCTTGTTATATTAATGATATTGTTAGACAATTTCTGCTTTCTGTTGGACCATCTTTCTTTGAATGGACACAAACATAGATCTCATCCAGTCAGTTGGTCAAGTATATGTCTTCCAAATTTCTTGGCATCAATGAGTGAGCACCTCCAGCATTACATTCATTTGTTGAAACATGCCAGTTGGTATTCTGCCAATTCAATTCTTATTTTTCATCAAGGTTTTCAGTGTAACTTGGACTTCTTACAATTCATGGGTTCTTGATAATATGCTACCTCCTGAATCGCCTGATGTCTTTTTGGTACAATGACTTTGTGTATTCCTTCCATCTCCTTTTGATGCTTTCTGTGCCATTTAATATTTTGCCTATGTTGTTGTTGTTATGTGCCATCAAGTCGGACCCAACACATAGCGGCGCCTCCTTGGGTTTCTGAGGCGGTATCACTAAGGAAGTAGATTGCCCAACCTTGCTTCCGAGGAGTGGCTGGTAGGTTTGAACTGCCAGCCTTCTGGTTGGCAGTCAAGTGCCTTAGGCACTACGCTACCAGGCAGTTAGAATCCTTCAATAGTGAAACTTGAGGCTTGAATTGTTTCTTTAATTCTTTCAGCTTGAGAACTGCCAGTGTGTTCTTCCTGTTTGGTTTTCTAACTCCAGGTCTTTGTACATTTTATTGTAATACATTACTCTTTCTTCTCAAGCCACCCTTTGAAATCTTCTGTTCAGTTCTTTTATTTCATCATTTCTCCCATTCACATTTAGCTACTCTATGTTTAATAGCAAGTTTCTGAGTCTCTTCTGACATACATTTTGGTATTTTGTTTCTTCCCTATCTTTCTAATGACTTTCTGATTTTCTCATGTATGACGTCCTTTTATATTGTCCCACAACTCATTGGGTCTTTGGTCATCGGTGTTCAATTCATCAAGTCTATTCTTGAAATGGTCTCTAAATTCAGGTGAGATATACTCAAGGTCGTACTTTGTCTCTCTTCAACTTGTTTTAATTTTCTTCAGCTTCAACTTGAACTTGCATATGAGTAACTGATGGTCTAGTCCACGATCGGCCCTTGACTTGTTCTGACTGATGATACTGA